GTACCGTTAGATTGCATGTACGGAAACGATTGCGATAACGTGAGATGCTTGTGCTAAACGAGTCAGTGAAACAGACAAGAGACACATTTTTCGATAAAGAGACGACAACCAAGAGTATTCAAACCTTTAGTAAGAAGAAACTCACTGTGTCGAACGTTAAATTTTTGAAATCATTGGGATTCATTGTACGAAATATCTAAAATGGTTGATATTCTGAACATTGGAGGTGAGCCGATCTTTGATGATAGCATCGTCAAGATTGAGACTCACACGTATAACCCATATGTCAACACATCATTTCAACATAACGACGAGATAAGGATACCAATACAACAGCAGGATTTATACACATTGCCGTGTGAAAGTTCACTTTACGTCGAAGGATTGACAGTAAAGACACAGAATGATAATACACCAACAATTGGAAATAATTGTGTGGCGTTCATGTTTGACGAAATGCGATATGAACTCAACGGCGTGGAGATTGATCGCAGTAGAAACGTTGGACAAACTACCACTCTAAAAAACTATGTATCGCTATCATCAGACAATGTATATATGATGGGTAATGCTGGACTTAACTTAGTTAATGCCACTCTCATCACAAAAGATGGTTACTTTAGTTTTTGCGTACCACTCAGGATCCTGTTTGGTTTTTGTGAGGATTACACACGTGTGGTTGTTAATGCTCGTCACGAATTGATACGAGCGCACAATAATTGTCTTAAGGGAGATCCGGCAACGGAACCGAAACTTGAGTTATTCAAAATACAGTGGCGAATGCCGCACGTTACGTTGAACGAAGTCAATAAACTATCTATGCTGCGAGCTTTGGAAAGTGGACGATATCTGAATATGAGTTTCCGTTCATGGGATGTGTACGAGTACCCGCTATTGCCTGCCACGACGAAACATTCCTGGGCTGTCAAGACTACGCCTCAGCTAGAAAAACCGCGATATGTTATCTTTGCCATGCAAACTGGTAAAAAAAATGTCATGAAAGCAAATAAAACTTTCTTTGATCAATGCAAACTAACCAAACTGAGTCGACAAGGCACACAGGGGATA